AAAAATTTTACTTTTATCGAAGTACAGGCGGCAGGAGCAGGCGGCAGGCATTTGAAAAATATTGAAGATTTGCCAAGTGGGTTGAAAACTTTTGAGATTTATGTTTTCATTTTCAATATCCTACTCAATATATATTATCAATAAGCAAAAAGAAAAATGTTTTTCATTTTGCAGTTCACATAATATTTGTAAAGCGCCTCATGCAGGCAGCATAAATTTTGCACGAGCGAACATATGCAATAAAAATATATTTTCAATGCAAAAGCAGGAAGGAGCAGAGCAAAAACTTAGCCATTGAACGCATAATTTAGCAATTGAATTTAAATTGTTCCACTTAAATTTGGGTTATAGTTTTCTATTTCGTATATCGTATAACATGGATATATGAAATCACCAGTAAATATACTTATACTTTTCATTGCAATTTAAAATCCAAATCCTAAATCCTTTAACTAGAAGCGGTAATGTTGATGAACAGCAAACCAAACCGCCGCTCCTTCTTTACTTGAAGTTTCATTTAAGCTAATCCTTTCACTCTTTTAAATATCATTTCACACAACTTAAGCTGCATATGTGTATTTAAATTACTTTCTTCTGCACAAGCTCGAACACATCTTCGCAGCTTATAGCCAAGCCAGCCACCTTCTCTCAAAGGCAAGGCTTCACGTTAATTAGAAATTACAAAAGCATAAAATGTTTTAATATCCTTTAAAAGCACTTTCGACTGTCATCCTGCGTCTCTAATCGTAGGTGAACCTAATTTGTTTTATAGCTGTGTGTTTATATACACTTTCACTACCACACTACCATACGTCGCCTCTGGAATGTATCTGTTGTGCGTATGAGTAGTAGTGCGCGCATTAACCCCGCAAAGCGAAATTAACTCAATTTGAGCAATTCAAAGGAGTTGCCACAGCTACGAAGCATTTAAAATTCCATTTAACAATTTTTTATGATTCTCCAGTAAGCAAAAAAGTATTTAATTTTGTAGCGCTGACGTTTTAAATATGTGCAGAATTGTTGCTTCCCCTAGCAACTGCCGCCAACCAACCAGCGGCGGCAAATACACATGTCCTTGCTGAAAGTATTCTAGAAATATTTATCGGGATGCTCTGGAAATGTTTGGATTGGTATGGTATGGTATGGGACGGTATGGGACGGTGCCGTCAACAGAGCAAATTGCTTGTTTGTAAACTTTCCTTAGTCGAGGTTCCACTCCTCAATTAGTTTCTATTTCAATTTGTAGTTGATTTCTTATCTTGGCATGTGTAGTTGGCAACTGGAAAATGCAAACAACATATGAAACGGCAATGGCGGTTGCATTATCAGTTAAATATGTTGTCCTA